GAGGTCTGCGTTCGCGCCCCTTGTACAAGCTGGCGCACCAGATCCTTGTGTGGGCCCAAGGGAAGCTCCTTTCTCTAAAAGCAGTTTACATCCCTGGGCATCTTAATATGGGAGCAGACATCCTGTCGAGGCAGGGACCGAGGCCCGGGGAGTGGAGGCTTCACCCTGAGGTGGTGAAGCAGATATAGAGAATTTTTGGCCAGGCTCAGGTGGACCTGTTTGCGACTCATGTTCAAACAGGTGGACCTGTTTGAAACAGCGTTTCTACGCAGCTCGAGTTCCTGAAGGGGAACGTCTCCAGGTTACGAATGTAACCATGGTCCCCCGAAGGGAACGAGACGCTGCGTCTCCCTGCCATACTCCCTGCATCCCTGCAGGCGCTCGCTTCCGCAGAAGCTAACAGGCGCGCTGGCCGGATGTGCCTTTATGCTTCCTGGCTGCTTACGTCACCCCGCTCGTGACGTCTCGCTTCGCTATTGGACTGATTTCGCACAGGCTTCAGTACGGTGTCTCGCCGAGGGCGTTCCCAAAGCGTTCGACGCAGCATCTCGTTCCCAACGTCTCCAGGTTACGCATGTAACCATGGTTCCCCGAAGGGAACGAGATGCTGCGTCTCAGGGCCATACTTCCGGCATCCCTGTCAGCGCTTGCTTCATTCTTAGAAGCTGACGCCAGTTCCACCACATGTGCTTTTAAGCTTCCTGGTCATTACGTCACCCCGCCCGTGACGTCTCACCCATCCATTGGACTGATTACACATGTGATTCAGAGCGTGGTCACGCTGAAGGCGTTCCCATAGCATTTCGACACAGCGTCTCGTTTCCTTCGGGGAACCATGGTTACATGCGTAACCTGGAGACATTTTCTTTTGGCCTTCAGCCTGCGTTCATTGGCTGTGTGGATATCTTCGTCTCCTGGTTTGATTTTGAACTTGCCTTTCAATCATATTACCATTCATCAAAGACCTGATAAAGATATATTTAAATACCTCAGTTATTTATATTGTGACAATGAATTAAAATGTCTGATAACTTTTTTTTTTTTTTTGCAATATTTACAGCCATATTAGAGACCAGGGTTAGTTGTCACTAGAGCTATATCTCAAGAGCTAAGGGTTATTACAGTTAATTAAACTAAAACCATAAAAAAAAACTTGAAATAAAATCAAATTAAATTACAATTAAATAAAAACTTATTTTATTTCAGTTAGCTGCCAAGGAAACATTTTTCATTTTCATTTAGTTTAACTTGATACTAAAATGGTATTAAAACAACTAAAACTGAAATAAAAATAAATAAAATCTATATATATAGACAAAAACATAACCATAACCAAATCACTAAACTTTAATTAAAATTAACATGAATTAAAACATGAATCACTAAACATTTAATTAAAATTTGCTAAAAATAACATTATTTTGTTACTTTTTTTAAGTTGAAAGTGTCAGTTTCACATTAGATTACATTTTTTATTGGGAAGAGTTGTCACGTATTATTTGTTTACATTTTTTGTACAATACATTAAACTATTTGTTGAGTTAATGAGTTCATATTTTTGTACATTACCTTGTACATTTCTGCTGTTTCATTCCAGTTTTATCATTTAAATATTGGGGCATTTTGCATGGTCAATGTTTGGTGAATGAACTGTATCTTTTTTCTTGGACAATAACTGTGGAAATGAAATATTCATGACATTCATGTTGTCAGAATGCCATGTTGAATGGCAGTAGCTTCAGGGAAGTTTACAATAGGCATCATCAGCATTGTCGCATGGCTATTGTTTTGTGCACATGGAGGTGTCTGTGTCCGGGCATATTTTTGTCTGTATTTGCTGTCAAAGGGGGAATGGACTAGGTACAGTATCCTAGTAAATATTTACAAGCCAGCATCACAGTTCAGGGGTAAATAAATGAAGTTTCATGAGAAAGATGACACTGTAAAAGAACACGTAGGCTATAACCTGTACGCTATCAGATGGATTTATGAGTCAGGTAACGTTAATGTGGTAAATAATATAATCACCTTGTCGAGTCCTGTAAGAATCTGTTCCATCTCGTTTTGCGTGACCAGACCTGTTTTCTGTAAAGCTTTGACATATGCTTTACTCCCTTTAATATCAGCTTCCCACATGCGCTGGTCGTATGCAATTGACGCCTTGAACTTTTCCATTATAGGGTCGGTGTTTCCCACAAAGCGACCACTCCAGTTTATTTCTCTGTTAAACACGAAATAATAGACATAAACATTACGGAAAGCATGTGACACAAAAAAATGCACTAAATCAGGCTGACTTTAGAAAGATGAGCCCTAAGGGCAAGATATTTATTTTTCATTGGCTCAAGTTAAAAAATATAGATGTGAATCATTACCCTACATTTTTTTAATTGGATGAATTAAAAACATTTTTAAGTGCTGATGCAGAAAAGCTAGTTCATGCATTCATGACCTCTAGACTGGACTATTGTAATGCACTGCTAGGTGGTTGTCCTGCATCCTCAATAAACAAGCTACAGGTCCAAAATGCAGCGGCTAGAGACCTTACCAGGTCAAGAAAATATGATCATATTAGGCTACCCCAATTTTACAGTCTCTGCACTGGCTACCTATCAAACACTCTCTCTGTTTAAATCTAGATTAAAGACACATCTCTTTGGCCAAGCATTCAAATAATGCATCTCATAATCTGAGACTGCAGTCATATCTGATCAAATGCACATTATTATTCTTTAGTTTGTGTTAAACAAATCAATTTTGCTTGGAACAGCAGCTACGCTAATTATGTGTCTATTTGTTACTCTATTTCTGCCAGGGGAAGAACACCTGAGAAGAGATGATGCCAACCCCTCAGAGGACCTCAGATGATGCCAACCCTGAAACAACATACAGAACTACTGCATTTTGCTATAAGTTTGATTGCAACATATAATAATTGCTGTTAATAGTGTTCATCGTCTGTTTGATTACGTCTTTATTTGATTTTTCCGTACATTTCTGCCATATGTACATTAACTGACAGTCACCACTGATAAGCTAGCTACTAGCCTACTAAATATATTGTAGAAACTTAATTTTCGGTAAACTTGCTTTGCAACGATTTGTATCGTGAAAAGCGCTATACAAATAAACTTGAATTGAATTGAATTGCATTTCTTCCTCGTTTCACCTTTACTGTATCGAAGCCTAAAGAACCACCTCCCTAAAGAGAGAATACACTTTGCAGTTACAGTTTTGAATGGTGGATGGCGCTATGTCCTTAAACCGAGAAGGTACACAAAAAAGAATGAATCTAGCTGTACTTCATGTACTTTTTATTTTACTTTTATGTCTCTTTTGAGTATATCATATACCTGTGTAAATACATCAAATCAACAGCGTATTTAGGGGAAGGGTTGTCATGAGGTTAACACCATTGAAAGTACTACAAATCTGCAGTGAATATTTTCTCAACTTGCAAACAATAATACATTACAACCTTATGTGTTATTTATTTTTCGCCTTAATTGCTTGCGAAATGTTTGCACAATGAATTGAGATTTGTGTTTGCTCTTGCATCTGTTTATGAATCTCTTTCTCCCTTTATCCATATTTGAGTCATTTTACTGATCAGATATTCTTTTGATTCCTCATGCAATCATAAAAGTACAATTATAGACTTATTAAAAGTAATATTATTTCATAATATTACTTTTATGTACTATAATGTTATATAAACATAACATAATATATTTTATATAAATATGTTATAATATATGATTAAATATTTTATATAAATATCGTCTTTCTATATAACATTTAATAATTTTTATAGTGTCACTTCCACAATATTTCGACCTGATTTATTGATTAGGTCGCAGATTCATTTTGTTGCACGGGCGAAACGTTATATTCAGATCTTTATTAAAATTACGACTATACTAAATATTTGTAAACAGCAATAGTCACAGGAATATTTAACCCTATAAACAAATTTGAACGCGACAACTGGGTGGGAACGTTTAACAGCAAGCTTCGTTTTCTCTCCGGATCGTTGTTAGTTGTCGAACCAACGAGGCAAGCGGCATGGAAGTGTAAGCGATTTGATTTAATTTCATTCGTTTAAAGTCAAACTTAAATAATATAATAATAATCTTTTGTTTGTTGTTGAAAATGATGAGTATATGGCGCTGTGATTAGAAAAAAACGGGTTTCCAAGTTTACACTGAAATGACGAGGATATGCGGCTCACGTGGTTACTCTTGTACATATGTAACGTTAGTTATTATAGCCATAAAGCTCAGATAAAATTGATTATGAGCTGAACTGTTTAAAATTCGCTTTATTTTCACCAACAATTGATGAGAGGTCATTTGGATGTAAAAATTATGTATAATCTTCAGAATACATGTTGGTCGTATTTGTTTATTAGCGAGAGGGTTCCTTTACCATTTGAGCTCTATGGAAATTAGGAATTGCTATTTATTTGTAATATTGTAACGTAACAATAATGCCATGGGTTGGAGCTTCCCTTTGTTCACACATGAGATAATTCTAATGTAAACATTTTGTTTTGCAGAAGGGACGCCAATGCTGCTATGCTAAGCAATTATGAGGTCAGTATGCATTTGAAACCTTTTTAGATAAATTTTGGTTCATTTGTATGTTGTACAATTCAATGTGTGTGTTATCAGAAATGCATGTTGTAAATCTCAAGTAAAATCTTCAGTTGTTAAGTTTATTTGTGACTGTACAAATGCACTCTATTCCATCAGGTCTATCAGTTACTGACAGACCTGAAAGAAAAAAGAAAAGAGATGGTTAAAAATAAGCACAGCACGGGACAGCAGAATCTCAACACCATCATGTATGAGGTGCCTGTTTTTGATGTGATTTGAAACATCTCGTAAACAAAGATGATATTAATTTTTCAGTCTGTGGGAGATTGTTTTCTTCATGATCTTCAGACAGGGTTGATCACTCATGGCCTTTAACAGTTGATGTGTCTGCCTCAGTAGACCCTGAAGTACCTCTCCAAGACGCCGTGTGCTCATCAGAATCCAGACACCGTGAAGGAGTTCCTCACTGCTATGTTGCCTCACAAGCTCACTAAGTGAGTTACAGAAAACGTTCTTTTTTTTATTCCTTATTTTGCACCGAAATGCCTTGTTTTATTGTGAAAAACACAGGAATGGGGAAACTTATAGGCCTGTAACAAACAGTGTATGTGTCACACTAAATACAGTGTATTACAACCACTGTGTAATTCTAAGTTTGAGATGTATCATTATGAAGATTTGTGTCATGTGATGTTTGAGACTGCAGTTGATGTTTTTTTCATCTGATAGTCAGTCTAGTATTACTGCACCTGTTTTTAGACTGTGACCAAAGTTGACAGACTGCTGGTTCTTTTTCCTGTTCCTCTTTAAAGAGCTGAGAAGTTGCAGCTCTTTAACCACAGACCTCAGACTGCTGTTGAAATTCAGCTGGTGAGAAAATTTGTCATACCTTTTTTTAATACCCTTTCTCCTTCTTTACATCTTTGCCTATTTCTTAGAGAGTACTAAGAATGTACATTATTCAAGTTTATTTTATTTGTATAGCGCTTTTCACGATACAAATCGTTGCAAAGCAACTTTACAGCAAATTAAGTTTCTACAATATTTAGTGGTAGCTTATCAGTGGTGACTCTCAGTTAATGTACATATGGCAGAAATGTATGGAAAAATCAATTAAAAACGTAATCAAACAGACGATTATATTGAAAATAGCAGAGGACCTAGGACAGATTCTTGTGGCACTCCATATTTTACTGGTGATAATTGAGATGACTCCCCATTTAAATGAACAAAATGGTAGCAATTGGACAGGTAGGATCTAAACCATCTTAAAGCCTGCCCTTGGATACCTGTATAGGTTTGTAATCGATCTATGAGTATGTCATGATCTATAGTGTCGAACGCAGCACTAAGATCAAGTAAAACTAGCAATGAGATGCAGCCTTGGTCTGACGCAAGAAGCAAGTCATTTGTAATTTTAACAAGTGCAGTTTCTGTGCTATGGTGGGGCCTGAAACCTGACTGAAATTCTTCATCGAGATCATTTTTTTGCAGGAAGGAGCACAATTGAGCAGACACAACTTTTTCTAAAATTTTAGACATAAAAGGAAGATTTGAAATGGGTCTGTAATTTGCCAGTTCACTAGGATCTAGTTGTGGTTTCTTAATAAGAGGCTTAATAACCGCCAGCTTGAATGGTTTTGGGACATGACCTAAAGACAACGACGAGTTAATAATATTGAGAAGTGGTTCTTCTGCTACAGGTAACAACTCTTTTAGTAATTTAGTGAGTACAGGATCTAACAGGCATGTTGTTAGTTTAGATGCAGTGATAAGTTTATTTAGCCTAGTCCTATAGTTGTAAAGCACTGCAGTTTATCTTTTGGTGCGATGAATGAAGCTGAAGTATTATACGCTGTAGAATCTACATTTGTTAGATCTTTATTAAAAGATCATTTTCATCAAAAAGATCAACATTATGTTGTATTACATTTATGAAAAGTGACAGTAAAGACATGCATGATGTATCCATTTCTATTTTAAATGTTCATTTGATCTTTCAGAGAATCCTGAAAAAATGTCACTGTTTCCGCAAAAAAACAAAACAAAGCAGCATTGATAATATTGTTTCTTGAGTAGCAAATCAGAATATTAGAATGATTTCTGAAGGATTATGTGACTCTGAAGACTGGAGTAATTGCTGCTGAAAATTCAGCTTTGCCATTACAAGAATAAATTACATTTTGAAATATTAAAATAGAAAAGTTATTTAAAATTATAATATCACAATATTTCTGTTTTTAATGTATTTTTGATCAAACAAATGCAGCGAGCATAAGAAACTAATAAAAAAAAAAACATGAAGAAAATCTTACAAAGCCCCAAATTTTGAACAGTAGTATATGATGTTGTAGAAAATCTTATCTTTCTCTCAAAGAAATCTCTTGAGTCAAGAATTAATCATTTAATTTAATTTAATAATAATAATAATAATATTAAAATATTATTGAAGTTCCAGATGCCAAAATCAGACTTTATTGGCCTAGACAACAAAGCTGAGATTCCAGCAGAACATCTGACCATCTCACTTGTAGCTCACACTTGTATATCGTTTTCAACCAATAATCTCATTATGGGTGTTATCCTCCTTTTTTCTTTCTGGAATCTCCTCAATACTCCTGCCACAGTTATTTCTTCAATCTGCTAGCTTGTTTCTAATGGTGGCATTCTGCCAGTCAATAATGTTCTCTGGAAAAATATTGATGTCATATCTTTGTGCAATCTGACAGACTGGTACATGTATAGACATTGAGCAATAATGGCCTTACAACATTCTAGTTTGGCCTACAGCCCAGTTTGGGCTTACAGTGTTATATTTGAGTAATAAAAATACACCATAAAAAGCAAATGGCATATTCAGATTGTTGTTTAGAAATTAGTTAATGTTCCTTCAAGTCTAAGATTAATAAATGCGTTAAAAGTATTTTTCATTGTTAGATCATATAGTTAACTAATATTAACAAATGGAACCTTGCTGTAAAGTGTTTCTTCTATTATTGTGTATTCTGAGTTTGTTCAAATGATTTGTTTGAGATGTCACAATGGCTATTGTTTTTGGTTTGAAAAAGTAAGTTTATTTTGAATTTAATGATAGATTTGGGACCAGAGGACACAGTGAGGGATTTTGGATACGTTCTTTAAAAAGTGACAGTGTTTAAGTGTTTTGATAAGATTTGTGAATGTTGGTCCAGTTTTTGATTGGTTAATGACACATTTATGCACTGCATTGCGTTACGTCACACTATACTTTCGCCTATATAAATGTAACAAAAAATGAAACAAACAATTTTCAGATAAACAGAATTTATACTTGACAGGGGAGTATTTTATATAATATTATAATATTAATAATATTATTACAAGGAAAAATTTATCAATTTGGTACCTTAAAGCCCCAGGCTCTATCTGTGCACATGTAATAAGTTAGTGGAAGGGATTGACGAGAGAAAGGATAGTTTTTGAATGGCCATCGCTGGATAATAGATGTATAACCTACAGTATATATGACCTTACCTTACAGATGGTAGAGGAGAGCGAAGAAAGACTGACAGAAGAACAGATTGATGAACTTATACAGAAAGTCACGGACGTCCTGCCTGGTGACCCTCAGAAAGCAGGTGATGTATCTGCTGACCCTGAGATGGAGACAGACCAGTAACATCACCCCTGCAAACTCAATTATATATATATATGTGTGTGTGTGTGTGTTTTCCTTTTCAAACAAAAACTTTCTTCAGATTCGTTGACGGTGCTAGTGGTAATATTTGCTAATATAAAGTGATGTCTAAGAAAAGTGTTAAAACATGTATTTATTTTTCCTGGTGTATATATTGCACAATCATATGATAAAGAAATACCATATATGACTTTGTCGGCTTTTTAAACCCATTTGTAGGAGTTGCATTGATCTTTTTTTTTCCTTGGGGGAAGGATATAATCTTCTGGAGTAAAGACAATCTTACTTCTCTCTGGCATCCTTCCTGTATATATATATCATCCTCTTTAATTTAGCACATAGTTATACTGTGTTTAATCGGTGACCATTTTAAGGATTTGAGAGAGATTGAGCAAAGCAAACCTGGTCGTTTAGTGTTAATTATGACCATTTATCATTTTGTCAAACAGTCTCTACTGACCCAACTGCCTGAATATAAGCTCTTGTAACAACTAAATTTACTGAGACTTTTATCCATAAAGCAGTTTGATGTGAATTTATTTGTAATGTGTCACTTACTCTTAGCCTAAAAAGACGCTTTTCTCATTCCAGCCCTCCACAGAAATGTATTTTATAGTAAATCTCATAACATATTGATTGTATTGATTAATAATGTATTCTCATTGACAGTTTTCTGATGAGAATAGAGACGGATTATACACGAGTTTGATTTATGACAGTAATGCCATGTCCTAAAGAGAAAACCATCTGATTGGAAATAGACGTTTGCTGTAGCCAATGAAATGTGAGAGTTCCTCTTAAGCGCTGTGGTGACTATGGTATGAATTGCTCGTAATTTACAGCTTTTCGCTTGAATCGAACTGGTTTGACAGTGATTCCTCGCGTATACACTGAAGATTCACGAGAAACGTGCTCGCGGTGTAAGACTCGTCCTCAAAGTCAGAGCTTCATAGCTCCGTTTACACAATCTTCACGTATGCATTTCATCAGACACGTGAATCTGGAGAATGTAGGCTTTCGAGGAGTTGTACTTTCTGTACGGTAAGACACACCACGCTCGGTTTTCTTGCTGAACTATTCAAACTAACAGAGTTGTTTGGGATTTGTACGTGTCGTGAGCGTTTCACTCACATAGTTTCCTTGTCGCAGGCCGCCAGTCGTGCTGGCGAGTAACTTTGATCTCGGGTCCTCGATTTCCCTTACAACCATTTAAAACGTGTCTTCGTGTCACGAAGCTAATGCTTCACAGTGAACGTATGCATATGAACTGAAAAACGCGTTCAGCTTTGTTTTACCTACACGGTGATGATCATCGAGCCGACCACATATAATAATGTATCTGTCGACTTGTTGCATTATTGCAGTAGCCTACGTACACGTTTCCCACAAAATACTGATGTCACAGAACATATTCTTTCTGCACGAGCGCCAGTACGCCTTTATTAGCATTTTGGGAATTCAAACTCTGCTGTGATACCAAAAATCGCGGTCCCGTGTTGGACACAATTAAATATGCTGTGTAGGTAGAATGAATTTTCAGACATCTCTCTAAACGGATGGAGACCACCAGTAAGCAACACGTAGCAACCAAAGTAGCAAGAAAAAATCATTTGATGTTAAAATTCTTCTATTCCTAAATAAGAAGAGAAGGTACTACTTGTAGATTATTAGCTGTAATTTGATTAGTTTTACTTGGCTCAACCAATGGACCCTTTTCACAAGACGCGTTTAATGGTCATCAGCATCGTAAATCCTTGGAAGTTTTTCATATTTGTATTTTTTATTTTTTTTTTAATGTACATTTATAACACTATTCTTTGTATTATATCACCTTTGCATCAAATTACAACAAAAACAAACAGTTAACGCTAATGCGAGGGTGTTTCTAATGCAGCGTCTATGGACGGTACATTTTACATCGTTCTGTCTTCTGACTGCCGTTATCAGTCTCTCAATTTTTTTCCTTTTATTGAAAGTCACGAAAGCACTGTCGTGGAGTTTTTCTTTTGCCATTTGAGCAAATGGGAATGCAAAAAAATATATTTGTGGTACTCTCCCATTCACTGCTCTTCAAGTTACCCCAACTATGACGACTTCCGCTGCTGAGAAGCCTGGGGTGGGATTATCTTTTTGTTCGACCAATTGAAGACAGATTGGGTAGTTGACAAATAGGGAGTAAAAAATGCTTATTTTGTAAAAGACAATTTTTGAAGAAGAAATGCATATACTTATGTAGTGTGAAGTCTGATCTTTGAGGAAAAATATAAAGGGTCAACTTCGTCAATTCTTTCATTGTTTTTTTTTTTTTACATTTTCACTGAACTGTACCATAAATTTGCCCTATGGTGTGACATAGCAAAAATTAAGAAAAAAATACCTCTTAATAATATATAAATAGTAGGGCTGCGCTCTGTGTAGTAAATGCTGCTCCATGTGAAAGCCCACACGTGATGGAGATTTACCGCTAATCATGCAGCCCTAATAAATAGCATGAGAGAGATGTATCTTCATTGTTATACACTTATTTTCATATGGTGTTATTTAATATGAAATTATAATTAACATAATTTTTTCCCCATGACTTGTTGGACAATTTGAGGTCAAACTTTGACAACAAGACAAACTTTGCTGTCATCCGTTCAAAACTGATGAGAATTATACAATTTTAAGATGAGTGATATTTATATCCCCCCTATTACAATACTCAACAGTTGTTGTTTTTTTTAGATATTTTGAGATAAAAAACAAATCTGTGGGTCTTTTATGTGTGTCACACCATAGGACATTACGTCACACTAAAGGACAGAAATGGTAGTTATTAAATTATTTC